GACAAAATCACACGGACAAAATTATAACAATTATTAGATAACTTTGCACACTACGTGATAATTATTGTAGTTTATGATAACTATATTTTTTATATAGAAATATACCTATTTAGAACTTGTGACAAAAGATTATTATTTAATCAAAATTCTACTAAATTTGTGCATCGTTATAAAATAATTGAATAATTTGTCAGTAGTATCTTTAATGAGTCGTATGCGACAATATTATTGAATCAACATTAAAAACCTCTTTTACAGAATCAAAATTAAAGCTGCATCTATTTTTTATGTTCAAAAGTGAGAATTTTACTGTGCAAATATTTAAATTACATTCGCATACAAGCTCATTGAATCAATTTCACAAAATATGCCGTACACAAAAAAATCATTTTTACTGTGTTAATTATTTTCAAATTTAAAATTGGAGTAATTAAAAATTCCGAAAGCTATTTTAACAAAATAATATAAAAATTACAAAGTATTACAATATGTGAAAATGATTTTAGCATGTGATCATACCAGTAATTTAAAAAAGTTTGAAGCACTCACCCTACGCGAACAAGCACCGATTCTTCTGGGACATCGGGATTACCAATTTGTTGTCTGGAAGAGAAACAATATGTTTATATTACAATATAAGATATTTATTCAAAATTAGAAACAATTGTGAAGTATTATGATTAGTATCATATTTATTTACCTCTCGACTCCCAGAAGAAGACGTTTATAAGAAATCCTGGTCACAGCACGAAGAGCTCAGCACACGATTAGCAGGAAAATCACTTATTTTAAAGGAAGAAAAATTAATTCGTTAATTTAAACTGCACTTCACTAAACAAAAGCACTTGAGAAATTATGCATATACACACCAAAAAAGCACTAAAATGCGGATTTACTAAAAATTGCAAAAATTCGCACCGAAACACACTCGATCGTAATACTGCGATAAGTATACAGTCTACCTGGAAAACCTGAAATAAAATAATAAATAAAAATTTTAATCAGAAATTAATTTTTTGTGATGGCTATATAATAAATACATATCACAAGTATAATACTCGTATATAAAAATATGGTAGGTTTACGAAGACCTTTAGTTTGTCGAAATTCGAACTATGAAATAAAATACCGAAAACACCACATCACTAATCCTAACAAATTTGTGACGCAAATTCATAATCTAATCAAAGATATTGTATATACATGTATAATTTTGGTAAACTTTATAAATTTTGAAATTCATGTGTGGCATACCTTTCACTACATAAACCCGCCAAGGGGGTAGCTGATGTCTGATGAAAAATTTGCTTGATTTATTCTTATACGCATATAAGAGCAGGGGCACAATATTATGTCATTAAATAATAAATATAAAGAGAAATCTTAACTTGATTATATCATGTTCTATATAATTGCTGCAATACAAATTGCTAACAAAAAAGATAATCGCGCAAATCGAGGATCATGATTTCTAAAAGAAATTGCCAA